CACACACTTCAAACAATGAAAAGTGAACAGCAGACAGCAGACAGCAAACAGCCTCCCTAAAACAGGAGGGCAACAAGATGCCTTTGTAGTAGCCGCCACAGGACACAGATCCTTGCCGCTTGTTTCAGAAAATCCATGGGTGCACACACAGACTCAGTGGCCTTAGGAAACAATGCAGAGGCTCCTTATTAATAATCAGCCGATGATTATTATTAACAACCCTAAGGGCCCAGAAGGAGCCAGAGCAGAAAATAAAGGTAGCTTATGCTGGAGATGAGACGTGCACTAAAGGGGCCACTGCCTTGGAACTTGGACTCCCTCAGCCTATGCAATCGCTGCTGAAATGCATTCTGTGGTTGCCTTCCGTGGTGGCTGTGCCCCCTGGGGACAAAGACCCTAAGTTGGCTTAAACCTCGAAAGCCCAAGAATGGTCTCCAGTTCTGAAGCAACGGTCAGTCTGAGGAAAGTCAGGGGAGTAAAGGATCAACTAGAAAAAAAGAATTGTGCCTAGCATGGATGAAGGAGGGGATGAAGGAGAAGGCAGGAGTGCAAGTGGATGGAGAGAATCAAGGAGATTACACGATGGTCACTGGGAGAGCTACAATTTAATTAAACAATAACCAAATAAAAGTAATAGCTTGAAGGTTGCAATTATGTTGAGAAGCTTAGTCCAGTTCCAACCAATATGTCTCCCAGTTTTCTTTAGCCTGTGTCTCCAAAGACAGATGAGACACTTCAGAGGGGTTTCCTCCTCCTTCTTCCCACAAACTGTCTTATATCGAGAACTGCATTGTTGTGATTAGGTAATGAGTGACTATGAGCAGGGCCTCTCAGTGAGTCTAGAAGAAACCTCAAATTGTGGATCAGTCATCGGTACATCTCTGTTTAAAGTCAAAAATTGAATTTCCCTGGAACTGCAAGGTCTAAAACGACTCCATCTTGCAGAGATTCACTCCATCTGTTCCCCTCCCATTCAGACTCCAACAGCCATTAGGTCAGCACTTCCACCACATCACCTGTTTCGCCTGGGGATGTGAAAAATAACTGGGTATCACCAGCGTATTTAGGATGCCAGAATCTAGGCCAACAGATGACCTCCCCCAGCACTTCCATGTAGAAGCAGCGGTAAGCAGAGAGATCCCTGGAGCATGCACAGAATAGATATCTCTGGACAGAACTCTCTTCCACCATCACGACCTCAGGAAGGAAGAGAACCACTACAAAACAGTGCATTCCCTTAGACCTGTTGCAGAAAAAGGCCATGGTCAGGGGTACTGAAAGCCTCTGAAAGATCAGGGAGGGTCGCACTCCCCCAATAGTAGCCTCTCCATAAGTCATCCATAAGTGCAACCAATGCAATTTCCATCTTGTATCCCGGCCGGAAACTGAGCATCAGCCCATTCAGGCAAGCCAGGTCAGGAATTGGATACCACAAAGCGTATGGGAACTCTGTGATGTTGTTGTGGGGCTCAAGAAAAGAATCTTGAAAGCCTGTCAGAGTTCCCACTGACCTCTTTTATGGGATACAGAATCAAAAAAAGATTATTTTTACTCTCTTAAGTAAGAAAAATACTGAATTCCATTTCCTGTCTGC